TTTTTACAGCGCACCGACAGGTGGACACGCACACGCGCACACGCGCACACGCGCACACGCTCACACGCGCACACGCGCACACGCGCACACGCGCACACGCGCACACGCGCACCCGCGCACACGCGCACACGCGCACACGCGCACACGCGCACACGCGCACACGCGCACACGCGCACACGCGCACCCGCGCACACGCGCACACGCGCACACGCGCACACGCGCACACGCGCACACGCGCACACGCGCACACGCGCACACGCGCACACGCGCACACGCGCACACGCGCACACGCGCACACGCGCACACGCCGCACACGCGCACACGCGCACACGCGCACACGCGCACACGCGCACACGCGCACACGCGCACACGCGCACACGCGCACACGCGCACACGCGCACACGCGCACCACACGCACCACACGCACCACACGCACCACACGCACCACACGCACCACACGCGCACACGCGCACACGCGCACACGCGCACACGCGCACACGCGCACACGCGCACACGCGCACACGCGCACACGCGCACACGCGCACACGCACACACGCACACACGCACACACGCACACACCAGAAACGCTCCGGCACACCCACGCACACCCACACACACACCCACACACACACCAAAAAGGTACACTGGTACACTATAAAACGTAACCGAATAGGTACACCAAACACGCTCCGGCGCACACCACAACGTAACGCTCTGGCACGCACCAAAAAGAGGTGGGCGGCGGCGGGCGGTGGGCGGCCGCGGCCGCGGCGGCGGCGGGCGGCGGGCCGCTGGAGGAGCCAGTGCCGAAGCCCCGCGGGGGCTCGAGGGGCGGGGCTCGGTGCAGGCGGGGGTCGGTCGGAGCGCTGGAGGAGGAGGAGGAGGAGGAGGAGGAGGAGGAGGAGGAGGAGGAGGAGGGGGAGGAGGAGGAGGAGGAGGAGGAGGGAGATCGAGGATCCCCCTCCCTCTCAGCCAGGTGGGGCATGTGCAACCCACGGATAAGCCAGGCTCGGAGAGGTATAGCCCGCCTTGGCATCCACTGCCAGTCCCCTGCTCCCCTTAGCAACCCCCGCGCCCATCCCAGTGGACTGCCAGGCTTGTTTGCGCTGCTCTCGGCAGAAGAGGAAGGAAAATGTACCAACACTGCTGCTCGTCCTGGAGTCAAGGAAGAGCAACTGACACAAACATGCACTTTCGGACGTCCATGTGGATTTCTTGTATCGGCGCTGGATCCCCATCCCTGACCCGCTGAGAGCGCCGGAGGCGGCGCCGGAGGCGCCGCTAGGGGTATCCTTCGCTGATCCGACAAACCCGCGCGGACCTCCGAACGGGTATGCTTTATGACATTGTTTTTGCTGCTGGATGGAGGGCCCTCGCCGCCACGGCGAGGTTCTCTTCGTGATCTTGGTCAGAGCGCACCCTGGGAGGGGTCTGGGGAGCAGCGGTATCTTCACCCCCTCCCCCCTCCTCCTCCTCCTCCTCCTCCTCCTCCTCCTCCTCCTCCTCCTCCTCCTCCTCCTCCTCCTCCTCCTCCTCCTCCTCCTCCTCCTCGCGAAGGGGCCCACGAGCCGGCCAGGGTGGGGGCCCGCACGGGGGGCCGGTCCCGAGCGGGCCCTGGTGGGGCCTGGGGGCTAGCCCGGCCCAGACCTCTCGGCGTCGTGGGCAAACAAAGAAAGTCAACACGGAGGGGTCTTGAGCAGCGGGCCTGCCACACGGCGTGGTGGGCGCGTGGTGTCGCTTCCAGGCCCAAGGCCACCCGAGCCCCGTCGGGCACTCGCGGGTTCAGAGCAACGTTTTGCCGCAGCGCTGCGCATTGGGCTCGGGCCCGTTGGAGCGTCGAGCCTGCCACACGCCGTGGTTGGCGCGTGGTGGCGCTCACAGGCCCAAGGCCACCTGTCATGAAGCTGCGTCCCCCAGGCGGAGTGTTGCAACGATTTTGTGTGTTTCCCGCGGCAGAAAATGTTTGATTTTAGAGTTGTTCGGTTTTTCTTTGTTCAGAAGTTGTTGTGTCGCCGACCCGCTCCGATGTTGGGCATTCGGCGTGCGGCTTGCGCGCGCTCTCGGCTCCAAGCGTCAATTGAGCGGTGTCGCCCCCAGTCTGTTTCCGCCTCGTCTCTCTGCCACCCTTTTTCTTTGAAATTCGAACCGCGTTTTTGGGTATCGTTTCAGCTCGCGGTGGCCTCCTCGGGGGTCTTGTGCGCGTCGTGGGCCGTCCCTCTTGGACCGTTTTGGGCGCCTCTTGGGGCCCTATTGGATCGCTTTGGGGGGCCTGAAAGCCGCGCCCAGGAGGAAAACCATCTCTGGCCCGACCTGGCCGGGGTACTTTGCGTCCAGGGGCTCATAGGGCCGCCCCGCGCGCGCGAAATAGAAATCTTCGCACGCCTCTGGCCCGTTAGACCAGCGAGTTTCCCCCGAGAAGCATGTCCAGTGTGCTATGAGGCGCGCGACGAACGGTTGGGCCAATTTCGCCGACTCCTTCTCTCCTCCTCTCCTGCTGCTGCTTCCTCTTCTGTCCTCTTCCCGGTGCTGCTACTGGCCCTCTTGCTGCTGCTGCCGCTCCCTCCTCCTTTTTTTAACCGTCATTGATGTTGCGTGGGCACGTCTGCTTGGCATGCCGGCGAACAGGGCAAGCCAAACATCATGTTCAAAAAAATGTGTGCTCCGCGGAAGGGAGGCCAAAACAAGTATGCAAAATCGGGGCCAACAAAAATGCCCCAAACCATGGCCAAACGGGGGGGGGAGGAGGGCGCCGCGGAAAGGCGGCGGGGTGGTCGGGGAGGGGGCCGGCTCCCCGGGGGACCCCCGCTCGGTTGGAGAGGGTGCCCTCGTGGCGGGCTGCGCTGCCTCGCGCGTCGGGTCTGCGATTGCGCCGCCACGCCAGGGGCCGCTGAGGCTTCGAAGCCAACGTTTGCCGTCAGGTCTTTCTTCTCCGCCACCACCGCAGCCGCGCGCCGTGGCCCCCAAGGGAGAGCAGCGGGCCCTCGCCGCGGTTGCGGCAGAGTCTGCGCCAGCGGCTCCTGCGCCCGCGGTGGGCTCCACGAGCGCCACTCCCCAGAAGCGGAGCTTGCTCGACTTGCGCGGGCATGAGATCCAACAGCCTCCGGCGTCCCGTCAATTCCCCATGCAGCGCTCGCGCTCGAGCGTTTCTTTCTCATGTGGGGTCTCCAAAGTGGCTTTCTGTTGTGGTCCGTCGGTCCCACGCCGGCACGTTCCATGTTAAATCAGCTTGGGAGGTGCTTCTCCCGCGCGAGCTATCGGCCGCACGGCCAGGACAGCGCCTGGCACTTCGACGGCTGCGCGCGCGCGCCGGTTCTGTCTGCGCTTCGACGGCTGCGCGCTTCGAGGTCCGCGCGGTCGCTATGCCCGACGACCGCAGAAAGAAACACCATCGTGGTGACGAGTTCCATAGCGGTCACATGACGGCTTGGCTCGAGGGCCGCGTTGGTCGCGCCTCCGCGGCGCGTCTGGCGTGATTCAGTGGCAGGGACAGGCAGCGCGCGGCCATTCGATGACGCGCGGGCGTTTCATGGTGCTTCCCCACGGTCCAGCTTGAGGAAACAACATGTTGCTGGAAATTACACCATCTCAAAATCGTTGCGGCTCCTTTAGGGGTGGGGGGCTCCTTCCTGCTTGGCAGCGCCTGAGCCCCGTCGGGCACGTGCGGGTTCAGATCGACGTTTCGCTGTAGCGCCGCACAGCGGGCTCAGGCCCGTGCAGCAGTTCGAACTGGACGGCGTCTCGCCGAGCCTGGAACAAAAAGTGCAGGGAGGTTTGGGAGCTCTTGCCAGGCCCCGGATCGATCGCCCCATGATCCGTCGTCCCAGTCAGCTTCCAATTCGGCCTGGTTCCGTAGTTCTGGCAGTGGCAGGCCGTGACAAAGACGCGGCTTCTCCCAAACGCGCTGATGCTATGTGTGCGCCGGTCCTCCAGGGGCGACGCGCGCGCTCGGACATCTCGTAGTGTGCGATCGCCTCGCCGTCAGGCAGTTTCTGGCCACGCCTTCGGGGTGGCGATGCATTGCAAGGATGCCTGCAGTACGTATTCGGCTCGGACGTGCGCCTCCCGGGGGGGGCGCGTCGTATACCTGTGCGTCCTCCTGCGTCGCCCAATCGGCTCTGGATGAGAAGCCGGTTCCCCTGGCGCGGTGTGGACTCGGCAGCGAGCCTCGGGGGCGCGTGCGAAGGAGTGGGCCTTCTCAGAAGGCTCGGGGAACCTCGTGCCTCATGATGAGTTTCCCTGAAATCCTTTCCCGGAAGCACAAACAGCTTTTCAGAAGGCTGGAAAACCTCGGGGAACAGCCGCGGCCTCCTGAAAACGACTCCTCCTTCTCGCTCCCCCCGCTCGTTCGCTGCCGATGGACCTCCGGGGGTCCACACTGCGGCAAGAGTCACGGTGCCCCGGAGCTCTGGGGAGGGATGGGGGGTCACGCTGCGCGGCGGCACCCCGCCTTCGGCGGGGGAAGGGTTTTTTTTCGGGTGTTGCTAGGAGTGCCCCTGGGGTGCCCCCATTATTCGCAAGGCGGCCCCCACGACTTCCAGAGCACCCCTCACAAGGCCCAGTGGGCCCCAGAGGCTCCAAGATGGAACGAAAAACTGGGGGACACCTTGGGCCAGGGGCATCTTTGGCAGCCTCCGATTCCTCTGCCTCCGGGGGGGGGCCTTCTCGGGAGGGGGTCCGCCACTCCGTGGGGGGCCCCGTGCCCTCTGGTAGGGGGCCGCCCTCCGTGCCTTGCTCCTCTGTGCTCCCCCTCCTCCTCCTCCGCCTCCTCCTCCCGCCCCGTCCCCAGTAGCCAGCGCCAGCTCGACCAGCAATTTTTCTGGCGTTTGCTGACCAGTCCTGCCCTGCTCGACTCCTTCCCTCGGTGCGTCTGCTTCAGGGCCTCGCCAGCAAGGGTGCTTCATGACTGAGTGGGGTGCTTCTGTCTCCCCCTTCCCCCGTTCATCCCTTTCTTTCATCCCCGACGGCTTACCTGGCTTCCTCCCGCCCCCGCGTCCGTGAGTGAGGATCCCGTCGGGCTGCTCTCCGAGGGCTACTTCCCGACGGTTGTGAAGCTGGCGACGCCGCAGGCGAAGACGGTCATCGGGACGACCCTGCAGGCGGGCTCGAGGGGTGCACCTCCCCAGGACAAGACACATGCCACAGACAAGCCTCCAGTGGCAGACATCTCAGTGGCCAAGGTGAGTAGAGCAACCTTTGCCTTGGCATCGCTCGGACGTGTGCATTTTTCCTCTGGCGAGGACCATCGAGGAGCATCCTTGATCATTTGGCGAAACAACCACGCACGAAACCGAACAAAAGACAGGAAATGGACGTCCGAGCGATGGCCAGTTGCTGCATTCGAACGACGCAGAAAAAGCGGGGTCGTCTCCACCGACGCTGGCGCGCAGGTTGCCCGCGCGAGGTCCCGCGTGAGGGCCCTCTCCTCCACGCCCCCCCCCCCCCCCCCCACCGGTTGCGCCGCCGCTGGCGGCCTGCGTCGGCCGCCGCGAGACCTTCGCCCTGCCTATCTCCGTGACGTCGTCGCGCGCCTGCCTGGGCCGCTGTGTTAGGAGGAGGAGGAGCGAGGAGAGGAGGAGGAGGAGGAGGAGGAGGAGGAGGAGGAGGAGGAGGAGGAGGAGGAGTAGGAGTAGGAGTAGGAGGAGGAGGAGGAGGAGGGGCAGGAGGGAGGAGGAGGAGGAGGAGGAGGAGGAGGAGGAGGAGGAGGAGGAGGGGGAGGAGCAGGAGACGAGGAGGAGGAGGAGGAGGAGGAGGAGGAGGAGGAGGAGGAGGAGGAGGAGGAGGAGGAGGAGTAAGCCGCCGCGTAAAGCGTCCCCTGCCTGAGCACCGCCCCCTCACGCCACAGCCCTAGAGGCGGGCCCGCCGGCCGCCCAGAGGGCCCCTCCCCGGGCAGTGGGGCCTCGCCCTCGCGGCGCCGGCGGGTTGCCCCCCTCGCAGCCCGCGGCGGCCGGCGGAAGGCCTCGGTCAACCGCGCGCAGGAGGGGTTGGTGAGTGAGGAGGGGACAAAAACACACAGGCACAATGAATCGTCGACTCCCCAGAAAATATGGGAAAATATGGGAAGTGGTGGGGAAGACAAGACTCCAGAAAATATGGGGAAATATGGGGAATCTTTTGAGTTGTGTGTATTTTATTCGTGTGCCCCAGGGCCCCTTCAGTGAGGGGAGGGGGAGGGCTTCTCAGAGGCACCCTTTGCTTCTCAGAAGGCGCAGGCCTTCTATGTACAGATGCAGGGCCGGCGCCTGCTGAGAACCAGCCTCCTTCTGAGAAGCCCTCCACCCTCCCTCCACCCCCTTGTGCGCGCCGCCAACGCGGGCCAGGACGACCGGGATCCCGTGCGAGCGGGAAAGAGCTGTTCGGGTGGGCTGGCCCGAGGGGCACGGCCGAAGTCGAAGCCAGAGAGCCTCGGCGCAGGGAGAGGTGAGAAGGGCCCACGCTGCAGGCCTGGTTTTAAGTTGGGCGTGCCCCTTATGCAGGGGGGACATTCATCACGAATGGTTAAAACCTCGTCCGGGGACGATTTGTTGAATACCTTTTGGCTATCTTGGGGTATTCTTTTGAGTATGTTGAATTTCTCATCCCAAGTCCGCCTGTAGGGGGACATGCCCGACCTAAGCCTGGTTGACAGCGCATCGTCGAGCGGTGCTGCTGCCCTTCCTGAGCGCAGCCCCCTCCAGAACCTCAGCCAGACAAGTCGGAACGAAGGGGGACGAAGACCAGCGTCTTCGTCAGCAAGTCGTGCGAGCCTCGCGTGGCCTCGCAATTCCGTGTTTCTTTGGCGTGCGCTAGCGCCTGGTAATCGATGAGGAAGCGCCGATTTGGCGTCGATTGGCGCCTATCTAGCGTCGATTAGCATCGGTCTAGTTTCGATTACCGTCGATTCGCGTCGATTCGCAAGAGCTAGCAAGAGCCAGCACGATGACATGGGAGGCCCCCGTGAGTTGCCATCGAAGTTCCTGTCCATTCTGCACAGGACTCCTTGCCGGCGCCACCGCGGACAAGGTCCATTCGAGAGAAGATGTCGCCTGCCCAACTGCGGCCGCTGTCGGTTTTCGGCAACACCTGCTGTTGGACCTCGTGCCAATTTTGTTTCGGTGCCCATTTCGGGCGTGCCAGCGGGATTCAGGAGAAGGCTTTGGGTGAGGTCCACACCCACCCGCCCAGCAGCAGTGTCGGGTCCAAGTTCAGGCGCCACTCCCAGGCCAATGGAAACTATTGAGGGGAGGAGGAGGAGGAGGAGGAGGAGGAGGAGGAGGAGGAGGAGGAGGAAGGAGGAGGAGAGGAGGAGGAGGAGGAGGAGGAGGAGGAGGAGGGAGGAGGAGGAGGAGGGGAGGAGGAGAGGAGGAGGATGAGGAGGAGGAGGAGGAGGGGGAGGAGGAGGAGGAGGAGGAGGAGGAGGTGCAGGAGGACGAGGAGGAGGAGGAGGAGGAGGAGGACCAGTGCAAACCCAAGACTCATCAAGATGTTGGAATCCACTCTCCCTCCAAGCTCCCTCCCTCCAAGCTCCCTCTCCAGAGCGCCCTCTCAGTAACATCCCAGCGCATGTGCCCAAGCGGGCCTGCAGTGCTCTCGGGGCTTGTTTGTGAAAACACCTCCGCGCGCAGCGGCGGGCGCTTCCTCTCTTGCCCTCGGAAAATGGCGGTTCGTCCATGGCAGCAGCCGTGCAGAGGGGAAGCGACAAAGTACCGAAAGGACACCGATTTGAGGCCGAGCTCGGGGACGTGCGCAGGGGGGGCGTCCATCCTCGATAGGGGTGCATCCGAATAGCCCCCCATGGGTGTGCACATTGCTCATTTCGAATTCTTCGAAAGTTCATGGATTGCGAAGGCCTTACGGCCGGTGCCGCCGACCCTGAAGACGAAGCTGTCTGTGACGCCGTGAAGGCCGAAACGTCGTATATGCTAGAAGTGTAAGTTTCCGATGGAAAGGTAATGAGTGTGGCCTCTTGGGCCCTTCTTGGGGGTGCTCTTGGAGGGGGCATGGGACGTCTTGGAGGCTTCTTGGACGGTCTTGGGGCTATCTTGGGCGTCTTCGGCCGATCTTTGGGCGACTTGGGGCACTCTTGGGCCGTCTCGGGGGCCATCTTGGGCATTCGGACCTCATTTGGAGTGTTTTCGAGGTTTCGAGGCCGCCCGAGGAAAAACGAATCTGCCCCCCCACCCCCCCCCTCCACCCCCCCCGGGACCCCCCCACCCCCCCGGGAAGGGATCAAAGGGAAGGGGCTTCCCTTCGAATCGACAACGGCATGACGGCAGGAGGGTACGGCCCAAAATAAAAAAGGGGAAGGAAGAAGGGGGGGGCGGCGAGGAACGGACGAGGAAGCCCCTCGCACACGCCGACAGGGTCGGCGGATTTTTTTTTGGGGCCAAGATCCTTTCAGTTCTAATTGTTCTATCCTGGGCCTCTTCCTGGCCACTAGGGGGCCAGGAACAATTAGAACCGAGCACAATTAGAAATGAGCACGATTAGAAATGAACGACGTGTATCCCCGAGGTTCCACCCTTTGTCTGAGCGACCAGATGTCTCGGGCGGAACTCCGGGACGGGGAGTCGATCGTGGGGAGGCGAAACGGTACCCATACCGCCACGCCCTGGACCTCTCCCAGGGTGCGCTCTGTCTGCGAATCCAGCAGTGGCGACGATGGCCTCCCGGGAGGCCCCAGAAGGGGAGCAGACGGGCGAGGGGTAGCGGTACTCACCGAGCGCGTTCCTTTTGCTCGCGAAGTGCCTACAATCGCCAACGTCCGCAGACCACATCCCTGCATCGATGTCGTGTATCGTAGATCCCCCACGGCGGATCCGTTACGTTGCATCTTCGGGGGACCTCGCCTGTCCCCAAAATTGGTGTCTTTTCTCGCGCCCGACGCAGGCCCGATGTGGACTCGACGCGGATCTGGCGCGGATTCGACGCGGATTCGACACGGATTCGACACGGATCCGGCGAGTCCGACATGGATTCGGCACGGATTCGACGGGGATCGGGTCGCGACGGGACAGACAAGGTCCCCCGAGGATGCAACATAAATGTCTGCATCGATGTCGTGTATCGTAGATCCCCCACGGCGGATCCAGGCCATGTGCGAGTCCTTAATGGAGGATGACGATTCATAAATGACCGGGGGTCGTGTTCACGCTGCGGCGCCCGGGATGAGGATTAGAAAAAACCGGCCGCGGGCCGGAAAACTATTTTTTGAATCGTTCTCCTCCAGTCAGAAAATTGTGCAGAAATAGCAGAAAACTATTTTTTTAATCGTTCTCTCCTTTTTTAATACAAAAAGAAAAAAGGAAAAAAGAAATCGTCATCCCGCACTCTGCGCGGAGCGGAGCGCGCTGGTCGCCCCCCGAGTGTGGCAAGCACGTGGGTTTCTGGCCAGAGCCTCGGCAGGTCCGCGCCCCGTGGGGATGCCCCGGTCGACGCTTCGGGGGATACCACCAGCCTGGAACACATCCCTACCCCTGTGCTGGGCACCTCCTCGTCACGACGCCAACCTTCGGGATTCCCTTACCTTTTGAGGGCGCATCCCTGAGATGGTCATCGCCTTCTGGCGTGTCAATCTTAGGGATAGGCATGCGTTCGAGGCTGGCAAGGATACCGCGCCGGCCTCGGCCGGGCCCTGGGCCCTGGACGGTCAAGCAGTGGCGAGGCGTCCTGGCTGGCCTGCAGGCCCACGAGAGTCCAAAGAATGCGCTGGTAGCCTTTTGCGGCCTCTGCACGACATGTTCTCAGAGCACTTCTTGCTGGCTGAGGCCGTCTTCTTTTCGCACGTCGGGCTCCTGCTCTAAGAGCCTTGTCATTGCTTTTGGAACGTTTTTGCGTTCCCAGACCCCCGACGTCATGATTGTTTCATGACGTCGACCCCCAGGGGTCTCGACCCATTCCCCGGGACTGGCTCTTCATCCTGAGTCGTTCTTTCACGCTCTCGCGGCCCGGTAAGGGCCCCCAAAGGCCGAAAACAGCGAAAAGCCTCCCGTCGTGATTTTTTCATGCTTCGAGGGGGTCTGGGTTCTACGAACATGCCGTGGCAGGCCTCTGGGAATGCCGGGACGGTCGGTCCCCGCTCAAGACAGGGGGCCCTCTGCCCTCGTGCTCGCCGCCGGCG